TTAACTCAATTTTCACTTTAACTTTACAGTTCACTTTTGGAAACAATCCAAACCATTGTGTGGAGGGTAGCGAGGTGGGAGAAACATTTACTGTTTTAAAGGATTACCAGACTTAGGTGCTACATTTCTAGGTGTCGCTTTTCAGCAGTGCCATTGTACCATACTGTCTACTATTTCTTTAAGTGTCATCAACTTGTCAGCTCATAAGCAGGTGTATAGCTTTGTTCCTCCCCAAGTCTCACGTTCAGTGAAGCCAAAGGAAGCTTGTGAGTGTTGTGTCAGGAGTAATTTTTTTTCAGGGAATTAAAGGTAAACATTTCTCTTTAAAATTAATGTCATTTGTTGCTATGGCAAAGAAAGCAACAATACATTGCTAAATGGATTATTAAAAGTCCCGAAAACAGAAGAGGTGCCTGGGAGACTGCACTCAGGAAGCACTTAAAAGCTAAAAAATCACTGGAATGTGCAAGTAATGGGACCAAATTATAAAATAAACCAAATAAAAATATCCTGACACAGGAAGATGAGTTTTCCATACCCAGTCATGCACATTCTAAATTCCCCAGTTGATATTTATGTCAGAAGGCAGAAAATCCTCTGTTTGACTTTTTATAAAACAAATATATATTCTCACAATGCACTGAGATTTACTAAAGAAAAAATTAAATTCTCAGATTTGTTAAAATCAGTGATTTACATAAAGCCATGATAGTGAGCAGCATTTCTGTCTATCCAGCCTTCATTAGGCATCACAGCAGGAAAAAAAGAGTGAACTGTTTAGGGCCAAATCAAATCATTATATGGGACTGTGATGTCTTAGTACCCTATGTTATCACTTCCAGCAGGGTTATACTATCTGATATATTAGAAATAAAAAGATACGTAGCGTTCTTAAGAGATTCTCAGCATACGTTGCCTTTTACATGACTGCAGTACGACTAAACATAAACTGAGCGATTTTTAGTGCTACTGCACTAAATTTAGAATATGATGCTTCATTGTTTTACTGAGTGATAGCAGGAAGAATTGAAGATCATCTCACTGTATCTCAGGTCTAAAATAAATATCTCCAATTTTTTAATTATTCACAAGTTGTTATTCCAAGAAGAGATGAATCCTTGCAGGTAGAGGGAAATAAAAAGAAAAATATCATCTTTACTGTTTCAGTGGAAGAGAGATCAGTGTGACAGTCTGGATTTATTTCTTTCTAAAAAAAGACCCTAATCTGGAAGCCTTGCAAGGAGATCAGAACTTAATACTGGGTAAGGTATTATAAGAAAGTAATAAAGCTACATGTTAGTCCTTCCTAGCTATTCAGCTCAAAAAAAGGTAGTGAGGCAGAGCGTTAGGACCTTGAGCTTCACTGAATGCTGTTTCTGTTAATTCTAGTCAGGTTGTTTAGTTGTTGCTTCTTCAGGAATGAAGTGCAATAAGAGAAGGAACTAGGTCATTTCTGATTATACACGAGCAAGATTATACTGCTGCTGTTGCTGTCACCTTTTATCCTAGCACAGTAAACAATACATCAGCTATCATATTACTTTTGACAATAACTTTGATGCAATCTTGGTTGCTACTTGCTGTGGATACTGCGGTCAAACTATGTAATTTTAAAATTGTATTAAACATAGCTGGAATCAATAGTGCTTCTAATTTTTTCTCCCTGCTTAAAGAAAATCACATCTTTAGAGATTAGAGATATTTAAAGCTAAGTAAATTTAAAAACCAAACAAACAAAAAACAACAATGAAAAAAACCCAACACCCAAAACACAAAAAAACCCCACAGAAACCAGAGAATATTATTTGTTTCTTGGTGGGAAGTGTGCTGTATCTCCCAATTTTCAAAGATATTAATTTTTGATATTTACAGCTGTGTGAATTCAGCATATAGCTATGCATCTTGGGACAGAGGACATAATCTAAATTTAAAAAAACAAAACAAAACAAAACAAAAGCCAAATTGTGGACTCCTAAAATATAGAAACATCTTTCTCCCTCCTCCTCCCTCCCCTCTCCTGCTTTACTTCTTTCCCCTCCCCCAAACCACTGTTTTTTACTTTAACTTGTCAAGTATTTCACAGTTTCTCAAGTATTTAGCAATGAGGATCTAATTGGAAAGTGCCAGGTTCTTTTTTATTACACTTTATCAATATTGTTAAGGGAATGATGTAATTGTTTGGGGTTTGGTGAAGACATTCCATGTCACTTCAGTGTTAATACCAGGCTGGAGCCTTCCTTGTCTGCCTGCGTAAGCTAGATAAACACAGACCTGTGTGCTTTCTTCTCATCTCAGGATACTTACTCAGAGAGATCTTGGAACATATGCCTATTGCGAGCTAAACATTTCACTTTTCATTTTATCCATGTGCCAGAAATCCATTCCTTGAATAAACACTTTACATACTGACACTCTTAAAGTCACTAAACACGATAAATAAAGAGAGAATACATCATTTCAAAACCGATTAAACATTTTCTCACTTGTGACAAATGAACAGCTATACACTGTATGGAGTCCCTGGAGCAGACATTCCATTTTCGTTGTCTTTATTTTGTGTGGAAGATTAACTTTCCATTTCAGCTCATCTATTGCACAATTGAGCTTTTCTAAAATACACATTGCTGCATTTTCCCCAAATCATTATTCATTTTAGAAACATTTTTGTTGTTATTGCTGCAAGAGTTTTTTCTTTTAGACTTTCTGTTTTTATGGAGGTATCAGCTTTAATATATTATGCCCAAACTAAAAAATAAAATAAATTTAATAATTCTAGTTTTTTTTACTGAAAGCTAAAGAAATGCTATCGTGGGGTAGACCCGAACTTATACACAGGCTGAAGTTATCTACTTCAAACAGGAAAATCCAAGCAAATTAATCACATTAATTTTGGTCCATCTAATCCATCACTTTTCCTTGCACTACTTGCTTGTCTAGTCATCCTATGCATTGCTTTTCTACCTATGATTAGTCAAATGTAACTAATCTTTTATTTAGCTTTTTAAGCTCTCATCTTCTTTTGCACCCATCCCCCACCAAAAAAAGATCCCTAGCATTTGATTTCTATGCCCAATTAAAGATCTTAGTGAAATAAATACACATAATACTAAAACTATACTATGAAGCTATCTTCAATATTTTAAGAAATACCACTAATATGATTAATAATTTTGGTGGGAAGGTGGAAGAAAGAAAGAAATAAAAATGTAGCCTTGATAACAGTAAAAAAAAACTTTGCCTTACTGTTGTCCTACCATAATTCCTCATGTGTTCCACAAAATGTTTTCTATGTGACATTATCCTTGCTAGATATTCACAGTAAAGAGGAACTATGAAGCTGATTCTTTTTCTTTTACAAACTACTGTGTAAAAGGAGCTGCTGTACTCAACAAGCAAGAAGAAAGAATTAGGACAAATTGGAAGGAGCAGAACAAGCTGAGTGAGAATTCAGGGTACAGTTTCCTTTCTTCCCCTATATCGTAGATACTAGATATACCAATAGGAAGTTTTTGATATGATGATTCCAGTGCAGTCAGGGAAAAAAAATAAGAATGGAGAGTGAATTAGACACCAGAAGACAGCCACAAGATTTCTGAACAGATTGAAGATTCCCCTTGTCCCTAAATATCTGTCAGCTTTGGACATGTAGTCTAATCCATTTTCCACAGCAGAAACAGTTTCCTTAAAAAAGCAGTCAGAGATCACAGAAATCTCTTCAAACAGCAGTTTCTTCTCTTGGAGTTTTATTGTGAAGGAGATTTTTAAGAATAAGAAATATGAAACTAAGCATTTCAACAAATCTAAGAAATGTCAAGAATACCTTTGATATACTTGAGCAAGAGGTATGATACTAAGCCAAAGCAATACTCTGTTCCATTTTTTCCATTGTGACCCTGCACCACCAATGTACCACTCAAGAACCTGCTGTCTCCTTACAAGAAGTGAGCTTCTTGTGGCAGAGAAACATCACTTCTCCCCTTGGCTTCCTGTTCAGGTACAGTCTTTGGTAGATGGCCCAAGGGAACAGGGAAAAAATGTGCTCCTGTACCAGGGAAGATGTCAGCTCCACTGTGGCATTACAGGAGGTAGCAAATTTGGGCATCAGGGCCATAGAATGGCTAACAAACCATAGTAAGAAGTAGAAACTCTTATAGTGGTATATTTTACTGGAATCCTATTGAGAGACTTTCCAGCTCTGGCAATATATAATGAATATATTAATTAGCATCTATTCAGTGGCAGCTGTACCTAGTACAAAAAGAAGATGCTATTTTTAATGAAAGGAAAACAAACACACACTCATTTTCACTAAATCTGGACTATAAATGGTGTGTGTCATATTTTGGTCTTTTGCTGGGATAGATAAAAATCTGTCCCATTTAAACACTGCTTCTGGAGAACACTGCCAAAAAGGCAGAAGAAACCACAAGTTGTGCAATGCATTGAAGTTCTCAATTTTGAAAACTCTCTCAACTGCACACATCTGTAATGAAACTTAATGAGGCATTTTGCTTTTTGCCACAAAAAACTATTTGAGAATCTATTAGTAATTCTACAAAGGAAGTCACATTTAATTATACATATCATTAGTATATTAAAAAACATATTTACATTCTTTATTTTAAGGCAGATATTTTATAAGTACAGGAAGTAGTACCTAATGAATAATAGTTGTCTGGGGAATGTTACGCATCTGTCAAATCACCATGATTCTGGTGTAGTACTAATAGTTTTCTCTCAGTCCACATGGTACATTCTGAATTTATTTTTGCATAAGGTACCTGCATTTTCCAAAAGCCAGGTGTCGTGTATATCTATATTCCTTTTTTTTTTTTTTTTACTAATTTTCCAATTAAAACTGAAAATAAATAAATATAACTTAGTTTTCTGAGTGAAGTTCTTTCACTATTAAAAAATACAATAATGTTGGCTACCAATACAGCAGTTTCTACCAAAACATATTTTTCAAAGAAAGGTTTTACTGCATTGTTCTTTCTTACCTTTTATGTGCTTCTGTCAACGACTTCTCTTCATTTTCTTGGTCTATTTTAGCTGTAAAAATACAATCAAAGAATTAGCTACAAGGTGAAAGATAAAGATGTTGTTTCAGGATAAGGTTCATTGTAAATATGTCATGTATAACATGTATATAAACCACATGAGGATATACTCATGTACATCAATTCTGAAAGAAAAAAAACCCCACAAAACACCACAAAACTACATGAATTCTGATATCCCTATTAGAAACAAAACCAAAAACACACAACAAAAAACACAACCACAAAAAAAACCTCGAAGCAAGTTTTGAAAATTAAAGCAAACAAACAAACTTGCAGTAATATAAACAACACTCAAGTCATTAAAGTTACTTAAAAGCAGAATGACTCTGAAAACCTGACAAGTATGGGAACTGGTCTACCAAGAGGAGGAAAAGTCGAGTGAAGAGCAGGAAGGATTCAGCTTTATAGTTTTTCTAAAAGTTGCTTGATAGTTACAAATAAAAGCTCTCTTCTCTCTCCCTGCATATACCATCTCTCTGTACATACATCAGTTAGTGAAGTACTAGAGCCATAGCAGGTCCATATTGAAAACATGACTGTTTTTACATGAAGGAAATTGTCATTTGGTGATCATGTGAAGGAAATTAAAAATACAAAACTGTAATTGTCACACATTGAGGAAAAAATGATCTGTTTTCCGTGTGTTCTCTTGTATTTAATTTTGTACCCATTTCACTTAACTTGGATATTCTGATACACAAAATCTACAAGAACACACATCTTAACTTAGGTATCACCAATGTGCGAAGCGATAGTACAAACTGCTCTGTGCATGTGTGCTTAGGTGAGAAATACTTATATAGTCATTCAGGTAGCACAACTTAAATCCCATTTAAGACATTCACACTTTAGCCAAAAGCTTTTTAGTTTGGAATTTGATTCCCCTTTTCAGTCTGCTGGACTGCCAGCCTGCTAATTTGCAAGGAGAATTTTAGGATTCCTGGGACACAGTGGATTTTGGGACATGAAGAGGCTCTAAACTGTCCTGGAAACTAATGTCAGTGGTACAGAATTCATACAGAAATCTAAAGAAGAACAAACCTTTAAGCTACTTTTAATTTCACTTTCCCTATATAGCTCTACAATAATAATTAATTAAAATTATTTTTCTACGTTGTAGACACACTGCCTTTGAAAAGGGAAATCCTGAATTCAAATTTAGCAGAAAAGAGAAAGGCAACGGAATTATTAGCGAACAAAGATAACCACTATTTTTGTGTCACAATGTTTCAATCAACAGCACTTTACAAACACACACTAACACTAAAATAGACATGTGAAATCTGTAGCAAAGATACACAAATACAGATTCCCTATTATTTCCTCAGTCAGAACAAGATCAGAGCTATTTCTAATGCTACAAATGCTTTTTATTAGTAGTAATGTAGTCTGCTGAGTAGGGTGAGCAGTGCCTGGATGCTTGCAGCAGCAAACATTGTATTTAGTAATCATCACTTGAAGACTCAGGCTCCATCATTGTTTTGCTGAGAGTGAAAAAAAATCCCAGCAAACCACAGAAAACTTGAGGGAGAGCTGGGTAAATGTTCTCAAGGAAATTTAAGAGCATGTGAAGCTTGCCTGATTGCAGGTTTCAATACTGACTTGAAACTCGGCCCAGATTCTTCAAAAGGGTTGTGAGGGCTCACAACCCTTTTGAGTAAACCGGAGCTCTGTGTTGAGTGAATCTGGGCTGACTTATAGTTTTTCTTGAAAGCCTTGCCTTGATTTGGATATGAAACCAGGTGAAACCTGGCAACTTTGACAGAATTTCATTAACTTTTTTTTTTTTCTTCATACTTCAATCCTGAAAGTCAAGGTATGACTTGTAAAACCATATGGTGCAAGAGAGAAGAAACTGCACATAAACTCCCTGGATGAAGGGACATACAATATTTAATTCTGCATTAACACTTTCACTAAGTATGTGCAGCTATAACTTTTAAAATAAATAATTCTATTACTGAAAAATGTAATTTGGACTCCTCTCACGTAAACAATGTTTGCAAATGTAGGCTAGCCTGTTCCAGCCTAGGACAGTCTTTCAGTACATACATCATATTCATAGGATATAACTCTTCTTATAATTTCCAGGACTGATGGGGAGTACCATCATCTGAGCTGTGTAGTTTGGGGTTTTTTCTTCCTTATTTCAATTGTTCTGCACCTGCTTACAAACAGTTATTTACTCACCAACAATGGAGTAAATATTCCACAATTTACTTTTTGAAAGAGTGCAAGCACAACATATTATACTAGACTTATCAAAGCATGTCAGAATGTTCCCATTTTGGAGCAAATTTTGTTTCAATTAAAAAGGAAAATTACTATGGTCCAGAAAGGAAGAAAAAAATAAATACTACAGGTATAGGTACTTTTAATCATTTCAGAGAGAATGGGTATTCTACAATGAAAAGAATCTTGAGAATCCCTGAATGGTGTGTATGTAATAGCATTTTTTTTAAAAGTAGTAAGTACATATGCATAAGGCAGCTACTATACCCACAGAGAGAGATTTCATCCTGCACCAGATCACTTTTTGGCATTAAACACAGTCTTGCAAGGAAAGAATTTCCCCTAAAACAGAATTCCCTTGTAGTCTGTTCCAAATACATGATGACACTTCTAAATCTTTTGCATGTTATCAGAAGAATATTATTCAAGTATAAATCTGATTTGCAGTCCATTTGCTTTCTCATTTTTCTAGACATAAAAAGTTAAATAATAGTATAAAAATAATTCTGCTTCCACAAGACAACAGGTGGCACTAGTGAAAGAGAAGAAAATATGGTACACACAGTCAGAGATCTGCCCCTCTCCAAAGCAAATATTCAGATGACTGCTTTTGCACTAGTATACAGTAAACATCTGAAAGCTGTGGACAACAGGCAGTCAAAGACATGCATTGAGATTTAATCAGCAAGGGAAGAAAGCCTCCTGTTATCAAAAACATAAAAGCCTTATTATCACCTGGATACAATGGAATAACTATTAGATGCTGAAACAGCTGGAGATTTCTATGACTTCTGGAACTGGCCACTAATACAATCACCTGATATTAGTGGTTACTGGTATTTTGCTCTGTACTAATCACCCCATTGGTAAACTGCTTTCACCTTGTTTTTCCTGTTTGAGTAAAGGAGGAAAAAAATGCAGTTTTGACATTCAGTTGAAGTGTTCCAGAGTGTATTAGGCTTCAACATTTCATTCAATATAATGCATCTTTACTGTCACTTCTTCCTCCCCAGCAGTTCATCACAACTGTAAAGAGAGTGCCTGAAGGGCATCAGTTTGGTATTCCTTCTTGGCAGCCTGTATCAATTAAATGCTAAGTACCAGCTGAAAGGTGTCCACCTTAGAACACTCTGGAGAAAAATGTATTTCCTTTTACAAAAGAGAACTCCTCCAACATATGAAGTAAAAAGGAGAAAATCCATACCTGCTCCACAGTGATCCTTCCATAGCAATGGCTGAGACAGGAAAATTGGTCATTTCCAGAAATACCATGGCAGCTGAGCACATTTGAGTGCTCTGTTCTGACACTAAAAATTTCTCTCTATCTCTATTCTCAAGAAGCAAAATTACTTCAGAAAGTCTTATTGGAGTTATTTGAAAAAAGTTAAAAGAAGACTTGCAGTCACCCAGTAGCCACATCTGCTTCCATATGTATTCAGAATCCACCAGGTCACCATAGCAGTGACAGCTGGCAGGCTCTTCTGATAGATGTAAGAATTCCTGCTCTTGGGTCAGTTATTATTTCCAAATGAAAATATTCCATGTTTTATTGACTCATCATCTTTTCTCCAGCCTCCTGCTTAGAGTATTCTTGTTCCTTTACACTAATTTACTAAACCACCTCCAAATACACTGTTCCAAATCTATTAAAGACTATATCATACCTATATATTAGCCCCTATATTTCATGTAACGCAGCAGTAAGCAGAGGTAAAACTTAGTTTTATATCTCTGCCTGCATACACTCAATATATGGTAGGGCTTTATACACAGCTTTCATAATCCTGAAGGCATATATATTTTCTGTAAAATCTACTTAAAAGGATATAGTTGAAAATAACTTCATGTCATATTGAAAAACACTACCATATCAAGAAAATAACATTTTAGAGTGAAAGTTACCTCTCATGAAGCAAAGCTACCTTATCTACTATTTACAACATATACCAAATCAGTTATCTTTTAACTTTTTCTTTTGAAAGGATCTTTAATGCCTCCTTGTTAGATGATGTTCCACTGATTGCCTGCTTTTTCCATTAAGATACCTTCAGACTATTTAAAGATGGTCTCCCTTCAGAGCAAGGTCTATACTTCCTAAACACTTTATGTATTTGGTCAAAATTCAAGTACATTCCTTCCTCCCTATGTCATTCCTTACCAAGCATAAGGACTGTACTATATCCAACACTCTTCAATAAATTCTTTTAACTACGTGGTATATGTATTTCTTCAAAATGTACTAACATCAGATGCTCTATTTTCTATTTTATCGCTTTTTGTATTTGCTTAAATTTACTGCTTGATGTTTTGCAATTGGGACATAAAACTTGATTTTATACATTTCAAAATGAGCTTTCCAACAACACCTCACAAAAGAAGTCTAAATAACTTAATTCACAAAAGTTCTGTCATTATCAGCATATATCAACATTCC